TTTTTTTTTTTGTGGAACTGGGGATTGAACTCAGGCCCCTGCACTTGCCAGGCAAACATTTATTCCACTGAGCCATCTCCCCGGCTTTAAAATAAAATTTAAAAGAAAGAAAAACATTTTAAGTTAATCAACTCCACAGGAATTTCTCATTGATGATTTGACAGGAAAATAAATTGAAATCATTGAGGGTTAGAAATGTTTCCATAAGAAAAATACTCAGGCATGACATTTTACAAAAGACGAACATAAACTGTACACTAATGACACTTAGAGTAAGGAAAGTGGAAGGCACGCTCATTCTTCATAAAGTAAATAAGGTTAACAAACACGAGTGGTAATGTGTATCAATTCAAAGGAAAGTAAAATCTCCCTTGCTTTAAAGTATTTTGTAAATTATGGAAAACTATATTTTTTAGAGATAGAAAACAAAAATGCAACCACTTCTATACAGTTAAATGTACTCTTGTTGTTTTAGCATTGTGTTTTTGTGGGTTTTTCCCTTATTTGAAAATTAATACATAGAAATCACAGAGTTTAGAAAAAGAATGAGCAAAATAAATGTCTATTCTTCTTTTTTAAAATCTCATAGTGGATCTGATTTTGTTACTTTCCTCCCCTGTCCTGGCCATTGATAGACTGCTGTCATCTTCCTTGTTGGAAATTATAACAAGAGAAATTCCCAACCAAAGTCATTCAAAAGAACAGGCAAGACAAGTGGTAGAGACTTTCTTGACTACTCACCGAAGATAAAAATTTCACTTTCACATCATCATACAGAGCTGGACAGTTTAATATATTAATTATTACTCTGTCTGTTTCAATGTCATGAAATACCTGTGAAGAATACATGGAATTTAGAACCATAAGCTCAGCTGCTGATGAACAAGTTAATGTTTACTTATCCAGGTTTCCTCAATTTATCAAGAACGCTTGGTGACACTGTAGAAATCAGTGTGGAGATTCCTCTGAAAACTAGGATTAAGGTCCATTTGACCCAGCTATTCCCCTTCTGGGTACTTTTCCAGAAGAACTGAAAACATTATACCACAAGATGTATGTGCACCCATGTTTACAGCAGTGCCATTTGTCACAGCTAAATCTTGGAAACAACCCAAATGCCTATTAACTGAGGAATAGATAAAAAAGATACGGTGTTTTTGTTTACTGGAGTATTACTTGGCTATAAAGAAGATAAACTAAAGGCTTTTATTTTTTTTAATTTTATTTATTTATTCGTGTGTGTGTGTGTGTGTGTGTGTGTGTGTGTGTGGCCAGCTCAGCCCACCAGGGGGC